CTGCAGAAGTGCGAATATTATAAATCAAAATCATAATAATATTATTAATATTACAATTTTATTATAATTTATTAGGAATATATTTAAATATTTAAAGAAACAGAAAACAGATTTGTAATCAAAATGTTTTGCTTTATTTGTAAAAAGAATTTTTCAACCGTTAACGTTTTGATAAGTCATCTTAAAATAATTCACTGTATTAATAAAAGTCAATACATCTGCCCCTATAGCTTTTGTAAACAATCATTCGTAAATATATATCGTTATAAAAGGCATTTAAATAATCATTTGTTAAGAAATAACTTAAATTGTTCCCCAGTAAATGAAGAGATTGCCAATATGGAAATAGAAACCACTCCAGTAATCGAAAATAATTCGTCTAAGCAGGTATGAAAATTTCTGTAATATATACGTACACATGATACAAAAACTACAAGGTAAAATCATTTTCTCAATTCGTCGGCCATGATTTTTTTCTGGCGTTTTCAAGCATTTACAATTGAAAACAGAAAAAATGAAATTCTTCACAATTGTTGTTGTTTGAGGTTAAAAATATGAACGAGTGTGTGAGTTTGAGTTTTGAATTTTAAAATTATATTGCTTAAAAACGTCAAACTGTCTCTCAATGGTTTTACCTTGTAATATTTTAATCATATACGTACATAACATAAATGTCACCCAGTATCCATCCAAAAACCATGAGCTGCATTAAACAAATTTATTTTCAGTCTCACAGTGTTCACAACATTTTATTAAATTCAGAACAAGGAAAAGCAATTTTAAAACTATGGCGAAACTAAAATGCTGTTGCCGCAAGCTAGAACATATATTGTTCATTATGTTATTGAATCAATTATAGAGCATGGCGATAAACTCACGGTAAAAAAATGCGAAGATCTAGCGGAACAAATAACATCTTTATTTCCTACAGAATGCCGCGTAAGTTTACATGTTGCTCTAACGCCGAATCCTGAATAAGTACTTTTTTAATAATTTTAATTTTTGAATTAAAGGATACATATTTCTCACAAACTAACAAAAAATTGGCACCAAAAGGCAAACTTTGGGACAGGTATCAAGGACGAAAACGGTACGTGGCAAAACTTAATCAGAATTCGAAGCGCCTGAAACTGCATAATCGCAACCCTGATCACACGAGCAATATGATGACAACTACTGGCAATGAGGAATATGATCAAATATGTGCTGATCTCAAACATATCAGGGATTGGGATACTGTACTAACGAAATGGAAGCAAACAATTTCGTATAGAAAAAATCGTTTGTTCAACTTAGATTTGACGTTGCATCAAATTTTAGATGAGTGGCCGCTGTACAAATACTCCAAGGCTCCTGAATTGGTATGTTTATATGTGAGATATACGGATGGGTAGATTCGATATTCGAAGCTTCGAGATTCGAATTTTAATCGAATTTTAGGTCCAAAATGGCGAATTTTTGAAATTCGGATAAAATTGAATTTAAAAAAGAATATCGAATTTCAACCTCCCACCACCTATCCCCAGTCAGATAAGTAAATTTAAAATATGTTATAATAATATTCTACAAACATTTATTTGAAGGTTGACATTGACTATAATGACAGTTTCCCGGGAAATGGGCTAAATTTTTCAAATTGGAATCATTTGTGTGCAATCGCTTCGGATCTGTTTGAGCAAAGGATAAAAGATCCACAAACCAAGCAGCTTAGAAGCCGGGTATTCGGAAAGAAAGACGTATTAAATATAGGTAAATAAAAGTTTAAAATCTTCACTAAAATCAATGAAATAATTAAATATTTATATTTGTTAGACAATTTCAACATATATATTATGATGTTGTTGCATGCGGTTTTATTGCCTACTGCAAAAAATTTAC